GTAAAACCCAGGAGACTCTCCTGTTCTAACTCACTAGACAGCATTCCTCGGCAGTAGCTGCAGCAAAGACCCAGGAGTCCTGATTCCCATTTCCCCCACTTTATCCCACCAGAGCCCACTCCCCTGCCAGAGTCAGGGACAGAACCCAGGAATCCTGACTCCAGGTCTAAAATTTGCATCATGCAGCCACCTCTGGGGTGGGTGATAGCAGCTGATTAACATTCTGACTCCTCCCCCATTTCCTTCTCTGGCTCTTCCCCCTCCATGTTGGCTCCTCCCCTCTCGGCAGGTCCAGAGACATGGGCAGCTCTGGGGCACTGTAACGGCACCAGGCAGTCCCCGATCAACATCGTCACCCCTGATACTGTCCACAATCCCGACCTGGAGACTGTGTCCCTCGCTGGCTATGGGGATGCCAAGAAGCTTATCTCCATGGAAAACACGGGGAAGACAGGTAGTACAGACTGTCCCCTAAAGTGAGCACCCTGAACTGCCGTGCCGGATGCCTGGGTCCCATTCCCTGTGTTGGTCTCACCCCCCCCCCCCCCACCACGTGAAGGTGCGTTTAGCGGATGGGCTTCATCTCTGCGCTCAGGGGCTCCCAGCTACCTACACAGCCAAATCCTTCCACCTGCACTGGAGCCAGGGGTCAGACAAGCCTGGCTCAGAGCATTTCATCAATCACAAAGGGTTCTCGATGGAGGTGAGAGACGCAGGGGGCACAGCGCTGGCCCCAATGCCGAGCTAGGGGGTGCTGTGCAGTCTGGAGCAGGCTGGGGGGGGGCTCAGCAGGGGGCACCGGGCTGTAGGGGGTGGGCAGGGGCTCAGCTGGGGGCACTGTGCTGCAGCAGGAGGGGAGGATGATCAGTAGGGGGCGCTGTGCTGGAAGGGGTGGACGGGAGGCTCCATAGGGGGCGCTGTGCTGCAGGGAGCAGGCGGGGGGCTCAGCAGTGGGCGCTGTGCTGCAGGGAGCAGGCGGGGGGCTCAGCAGGGGGCGCTGGGCTGCAGGGGGCGGGCAGGGGGCTGAGCAGGGGGCGCTGTGCTGCAGGCGGGGGGCTCAGTAAGGGGTGCTGTGCTGGAGGGGGTAGGCGGGGGATGAGCAGGGGGCGCTGTGCTGGAGGGGGTGGCGGGGATGAGCAGGGGGCGCTGTGCTGGAGGGGGTAGGCGGGGGATGAGCAGGGGTTGCTGTCCTGCAGGGAGCAGGCAGGGGCTCCGTAGGGGGTGCTTTCCAATTCTTTTCTCTCTCCCCCTTTAGCTCCATATTGTTCATACCAAGAACAACCTGAGCATGGATGACGCCCGCAAGGATCACGAGGGAATCGCTGTGCTGGCCTTCTTCCTCCAGGTGAGGCAGTGCGGGGCCATGAGCCCGGACTCCTGGGTTCTATGCCCAGCTCAGGACAGGGAGCAGGGTCTAGTAAGTTAGAACAGCGGGGGCTCGGCTACAGGACTCCTGGGTTCTCTGGATGGGAAGTGGTATCTAATGATTCGAAGAGGGACTGGAGTCTTACTCTGAGTCACTCTGACTCCCAGCCATCCCCGTGCCTCAGTTTCCCTATTTGTTGTACTCATGTGATCTTGTCCCTCAGGCAACAGCCCACGCACGCCCCTCCCGCTCCTGGGATTCCTTCACTGGGCACTTGAAGAACGTGGCTCTAAACGGTGAGTATCCCCTGAACTGGGGTGCGGGAGAGGTGGATTATAGCTGGCCTAGCATTGGGTCTGGGGACAGTACAGCTCTGTGCCACCAGGGGGTGAGAGAGAGAAATGGATTAGAGGAGGGGAGTGGGGGCAAGGATTCCAGGCTACTGGGTTCTGTCCCTAAAGCTGGGAGGAGAGTGGGATCTAGTGGGTTAGAGCAGGGGGGTTGGGAGCCAGGACTCCTGTGTTCTATCCCCAACTCTGGGAGGGGCTGAGCTGGGCCCTCATTCTCCCTCTGCCCCTCCAGGGAAGAAAACGAATCTGGACAGCTCCTTCTCCCTGCAGGAGCTCCTGGGCTCGGTAGATCTAGCCCGCTATTACCGCTACCCTGGTTCCCTCACCACCCCCAACTGTGACGAAGTCGTGGTCTGGACTGTCTTCCCCGACCCCATCCTGGTGCCTCTTGACGTGGTGAGTGTGGGGGTGGGGGAAAGGGAGGGAGTCAGGACTCCTGGGTTCTATCCCCAGCTTTGGGAGGGGAGTGGGGTCGTGTCTAGTGGGTTACAGAAGGGGGGCTGGGAGTCAGGACTCCTGGGTCCTTTTCCCAGCTCCCCTCCCCTCTGCTCTTCAAAGCCCCACTCTCTCTGCTCCAAAGTGATCCCCATCAGAACCTTCTCAGTTCTCTCCATTGATGGGGTGTCCTCCTCTCCACTCAGTAGGGCACCCCAAGTTTGCCTCCCCCCTCAATTTGCCCCCCCCCACTAATCTGTCTCCCTCCCCACAGGTGCATGCATTCCCCTCCATCCTCCGCTCCACAGACTCAGATGCTGGGTCCCCGTTGCAGAACAACTACC